CAGTTTTAACTTCCTTTAGCTTTTGAAGTTGATTCTTGACCTGTGACTGTGAGTTTTTAATTTTCTGATGATTTTTATTGATTTTCTTTTCGTAATTTGTTTATTCTTTTGAATGTATCTTGTTTTTCCTGGACCTCTATACAAAACCATCGGGGTACTGAGGGAGATATTTTAAGCTTTTGCTTCTCCCTCAAATAGAAATGGTTTTGTTTTTAATGGCTACCGGGGCCGGTACCCCCTGAAGACGTCGGCTTCGGTGGTCATATTTTTATTTTATTTCATTTGTTTTGTATTGATACTTTTTTCTGAAATTTCTGCTGCTTCTTAGCGCGTTTTTTTCAAAGAAGTTTTATCCTTTTGATCTTAATTATTTGTGTTTTCTTTCAGTATTATAATGGCTATGATAGAGTTAGATGCATCTTTAAACAAAATTCTCTTTGATTTTAGGTTCCTTCATTCGAGCAATTAGCTGAACGCCTTAATTATTTTATGCATCAGTATAATGAAAACAGCAAAAGTATGAAAATGGATCTTGTATTCTTCAAAGATGCTATGGTTCATTTAATCAAAGTAAATATGCATTTTTATTTCACCTCATCACCTTGATAAAATTTTCACTACTTAACTTTGTAGTTTTCTTTTTTATAAAATTCTTTATAACAGTTTCTGGCCATTGTAAAAAATTGCGCACAGAGATGATATTAATGTCAAAACTTGAGCAAGAAACCTTGTTTTTTATATGTTTCACACAGTTTGTCAGTTCTTATAACAGATTTTGCTAGACTTATTAATTTTATCACAAAGTGTTAATTTTTAAAAAAAGATGAGCAAACTCCAGAATATTAAAGTTGAAAATATGGTAGAAGATAATTCAAATGTAAATAGTTTGGAGTGACATAAATTCCTATAAAATCTGCTCTGAAATCTTAGCAAAGTTAAAATTTGTACCTCGATTTTGGTTTATTAGAAGTCTGATCTAAATTAAATCAAAAATTTTACTTCTACTTTAGATTAAAATATTTTTTACTATTTATTAAATTTTTTACTATTTATAAATAATGTAAAATTATGCTATTTTAAGCAAATAATTATTAGTAAATGTTTAAGTAGTTTCTCACTAGTATATGTAAATAATGCCTATCATAGTAAAGTGTACATAATTAAGACATAGGACAATATAGCTATGAAGTACACTTAGGTGGCATATTAGTATTGTTTCCAGATCGGTAATTTACAAATTTTTAGAATTTCAACTTAATAACAACACAATGCACAGAAACATCGTATTGACTATATAAGTCCTACATAAGTTAAGGATCCTCAGTATTAAGTTATTTAAATAACTTTCATTAAAAAAAAATGTAAATCATCCTTTTTTAATTTTTAAAATTAGTTTTGGTAAAAAGTAAAATGTGTTGAGGCCTACACAGCTTAATAAGTTATTTATTATTTTTTTTAAATTTAACATGATCTGCTAGCAGTAATAGAAGTTATGATTCAGGTTAATACTTTACCATAATCCTTAATTTTATCCAATCCCATTGTATCAACAACAAAAATTTTTGTTTTATATAATAGTATAAATGAGTTGTATTTCATATACTTTATTATTTCTCTTTGTGACAATTTATGGGGCATGTCAAACACGCTGTCCTTGAACCAAATAAGCCCACCAAACTCTACAAGTTGATGGTGGTCTTCAAAGACTGTAATAAGAGCAACTATTATCAGAACAATAGAACAACTGTTATCAACTAATTACACGGTGCAGCTATTAAAAAATTAGGTTATTAATTTATATTTCTCCCATAACTATCTAGAGTTTATTTCTAAGTTAATTACTAATTACTTGAGTTTCAGTTGATTATAACCATTATAAACGTTGCTTTTGGTGGTGCTTTTTTTTCCGAACTATTACTTTTTCCCATCGTATTCTCTTATATAAGTACACAAAGTGATTAACAAGGCTTACTAAAACACAAATAGGTGTATTACTATATTAATAATAATGAACTAAAATATTTATTGAAGCATAGTAAGGATGCTATAAAGTATTGAGCAGCTTTGATACTATGTTTTAACAGTATCAAATAGTTGTGATGCTTTTGATATTCTTTCAATGCTAAATATTGATACTTTCTTTCAATACTATGTCAATAACTATGGGTGATATCTTTTCAACAGATTGCTCGCATCCTGAGTACTCCCCAAGGAAGTGCCCTATTAGTTGGAGTTGGTGGATCTGGCAAACAATCATTGACTCGCCTAGCAGCTTCCATTTATAAACATGAAATATTTCAAATAACTCTAACCAGGTATATGTGCTGGATGGTGCAGTCAGAAAAATTTTCTTTGTTAGGTTTTAAAATTTTAATGTTCACACACTTTCAAATTATGACGATTTAAATATGAAATATTTGAAATTATTTTTATCATGTTTTATAAAAAATTATTTATCAGTCTTGCAATTTTTTTTATTTTTCTTACTAAATTTCTTGAACTTGCTGACATTTTATACATCAAGATTGAAAAAATATGCACTTAAAACATTTGTAATTTATTTAATACTGCTAAGATGATGAAAACCTGATGGCATTTTCTTGCATTCTGTTTATTTTTGCCTTATTGTTATGTAATTTTTTTTTACTACCATGATATGACTCCTTATGAATCAAATCTCTTTAATGATTGATCGGCCACTGATTGAATTCTTAAGAGTGATTTCTGGAAGGAGTTTAAACCCCCAAAATTCCTCAACTCCAAACTCTACCTTTGCTTATTTTGAAATACAGATTTTTAAACTCTCATCTGTGTATCATTTTTCTTATCTTGTCTGTTTATGGCACTTTCTATTGGGTAGCAGAAACCAACTGAACCTGGTGGTGAACTATATGACATTTTTATAATAAGATGAACCATTATTCAAATATTCTATTAAATTAGTTTAAATGTTACAATATTGTCATTTTTAAATTTTTAACTGGTTTTGTTCATACTATAATTACCAAACAGTATTAATATATTCTTTCAGCATTTAAAATTAGATAGAACCTAGCATTCCCGTTATTGTGTCAGTCAATCAATTTTGTTTTGTTGGCAGTAATTACGACACCCAGTGGCTGAGCGCTAGCTCTTTGCACTCTCGTGCTACAAACCCTGAGTTCGATCCTTTGGCGGCGCAAGGTTGACTAAGCCTTTCATCACTTCAGTGGGTCAATAAAATGAGTACCAAGCATGCTTGGGAACTAAATACTGGGGGACCTTCAGCTGACCACCTAACCTGAACATCTGCTCCTGAACCCCAGTGCCCAAGGTCAAAAAAACTGAGATGGGCACAGTAAGCCTTGGCCCTCTATGGGCTGCCGTGCTACTGAGTTTAGTTAAATTACGACAATCAGGCATAAATTTCTTAAGACTCTCTGAACTTAAAAATATGATTTTTTTAAAATGTGCTCCTTTCCGTTAGTCTAAAAAAATGAAAATATAAAAATTTATCATTGTTGGCTTTTTTATTTAGGTGAGATGATTGGTAAATCGTTTCTCAGAATATTTCTTTCAAATTTAAAAAAATTGCGTTGAAATTTTCCAGAGAGAAAAAAGAATGCTATGTTGAATGTCTATTTGTTTCTTGCTGTTTCTACATTAATTTGTTGTTTTACTAAATTATTGTTTTATTCTCCAGGGTGCGTAGCGTTTGTAAAAA